AGCCCCCTTCCCGGGGTGTCCTGATGAGTTCATGGAAGAGCTGGGATTTGTACCCCTCATACAGAGGCAGGCAAGGTTCCTGAGCATCTCCAACAGAGCTTGATCCCTAGCAGTGGGCTCTTGATAAACATTTATGAGTGGAACTAATTCAGAGGGCCAGCCAGAATCACAGTCCTGGCTCTACCTCTCACTGGCTAGAGATCTTAGGCAAGTCACTTCCCTTCTCTGAGCCTCAATGTCCCCATTGGCAAAGTGGGAATAATAAAAATGCCTACACCCTAGGGTGGTCAGAGGTCAGCAGGAGCACAGGCCGAGAGCCTAGCACACAGAAGGCAGTACATAAGCAGCTGCCAGAATGGTTCCACTTCCAGTGAGGGAACGGCATGAGTGAAGGATGATAAGAGGCTAGCAGTCAGTCCAAGAGGACTCACAGGAGGGGCTACTGGAGCCAAATGGAAAGGGACTCCAAATCTGTGCCTGGATCCCTTCTCAAGGCAGGCAGTGGGAAACCTGGACATGTTCTGAACTCTAAAGAGCAGCCCCTGTCCAGGGGGCCCTTCCTCAGGCAGCCAGGCAGGTGGTGAAATGGTCTTTGCAGGAGAAGCGTCCCCTGATCTCTTGCTCCCTCTTCATCCTTCACCCCCAAAGCCCTCAACTCTTTCCAGGTTTTCTGGCCTTGGCCTGAATCCCATACTCCTCAGCCAGTCCTCCCAACCTTATCTCCATCCCAGGACCCAGCCCTGCCCCAGCTGACACCTGGTTCTTGTGGTCACACCCTGGTCTTTCCCAAACAGCCCAGAGGGACCTTTCTGTCTTCTATTAGGAAAGCCTTGTGCTAAATGGAAAACTTTTGTCTAAAGGTAATACAAAAAATTCATAACTGGTGAAAAACAAGCACTGTTTCAGGTATAAGCAAGCATATGGCACGTGGGTAAATAAATGGATCTGTACACACCTTTGAAACACAAATGGCGTCTTCCCACATCAGAGGGATATCTCTAACACAGAGATCCTCACTCCCCTCTGCAAACCAGGTAGCTGTGAGGCTGCAGGTGGGGAACTGTGAAAGCTGCACTAATGTAGAGCTTGTTGGTGTAGGGTGGGGGTAACTGGTCCTAGGTGTAGGATGAAGGCTTGAAAAGGACACCCACGGTCATCCTGAGATCCTCCTCCTGGTCCCAGTGCTCCCATCTGTCAACTTCCCCTCAATTCAACCCAAAGTTGTCTGAATCCCTCTTCTCCTCCCTCTATGCCTCCCATGAAGGATCTGCTCCTCCCCTCTCCCCACCCTAGCCTGTACTGTTACACAGGCTCTTCCTCACTTGCTCCACAAATGTTTCTTGAACCCCGTCTGTGTGGCAGGCAATGAGCCAGGGACCAGTGATGTCATGGCCCCTGCTCTGGGGAGCTGACAATGGACATGGAGCCAGGCATCTTAAATCCACACCCCATATTCCTTAAAGCATGATCCTGGTCAGGCCTCTCTCCTGCCCAGACCAAGAGTAAAAGTCTTAGCACACTAGACCTGCCCATATCTGCAGTTTCACCTTCCCAAGCCACCACAAGAAGGTGAGAGGAGGGGCGATCATGTTCCCCAGCGTGAAGATCCTGCCCCAAACTCCCTCCCTAGGAGACAGAGGAACCTGGGCTTTCGAGGCAACATAATCCACAGAGGAGGCTGTAAACACCCTTGGAGCAGCTCGCTTTTCATGGGAAACCAAGGCTCAGGGCTGGCAAGTGACTTAAGCAAAGGAATACAGCATGTCTGTGGCAGACAGACGGGCCTCACCCCTCAGTTCCCAGCTCCATCTCTGCGAGTGTAGACTTCTTTGAACTCTTCTAGACACTGACACTACCAAGAGAGAGAAGAGGGGCTTAAGATCCTTTTTCTGCATGTTCTGCTGATGTTCCAAAGACCCAAGCCTCCGCTTCTTTCTATAGCTGTGGGAGGGGGGATGAACCAAGAGAAATGGGGCTGAGACAAGGGATGTGGGGCACAGGCAGGGTATAAAAAGATGGAGTGAAAAGCATGCAGCAGGGCAGAGAAAAGAGGGGTGTGGGGAAAGAGTAACTGGGGACTATAAAGGTGGAAAAGAGAAGTATATGGAGGTTTATCCCTGGAGGGAAAGGCAGCAATAAAGGAAAGAGAGTCAGAGTCAGAGACAGAGACAGGAAGATGTAGATAAAGAGGCAGAGAGAGAGAACAGCAGAAAGAGAGACAAAGAAAACAAGAGAGAAAAGAAAGAGGGAAGGAGGGGGAAGAGCAAGCCGAGGTGGGGCCACCAGGGCCTTCTATAAATTGCTTCCCAAATACCCTCTCCTCTGCCCCTCACACCAGCAGTCCGGCAGGGTGTGTGGTGTCATCCCCATTCCTGAAGGGGCTGCTCCAGGCAGAGAGCTGAGACTGACGCATGGGAAGGTACCCAGCTCCCAGCCCTCTCCCTTTACCTGCATCCAGCTGCCTCCCAGAGAAAAGGGCCAAGTTCAGTGTGGAAGGGGCAGGGACAGGCCCTGAGGGACTAAGAGCTGAGGTGCTGCAAGCAGGGGCAGAGGGACTGGGGTCTCTCTCCCCTTTCCAGTGCCTGGTGCCCACAGACACCCTACCTGTTCTTGTCCCCTGCTGGCTACTGAAGAACAGGGTTTGGCTATCCTGACTTTGGCTAATACCTCCCTCAACCTGTGACCATTATCTCCCTACCTGGCCACCCCAACACCCTCTGAACCTCCTCCTGCCCAACCCTGTGCCCCCCAAGACCACCCATCCCAAGCCCACCTTTCTGCTCCCCTGCAGGTTTGGGGTTAGGGAAGGGAGCACAGAGGCCTAGATGAGGGGTGGAGGGCTTGGTGGATTATTGAAGATGTGCGGGCACTGCAGCTGACATGGATGAGGAGGAAGAGGAGGGGGTCTTGGTGATAGACGATGCTGATTCTGCGGTGGGGGGAATGGCAGGGGAGGGGTGGAGAGGGCTGGGGGAGGGGTGGTGAGGAAGCAGGTTGGGGGGGAGCAAGACCAGGCTCACATTTGGCATTCAGGGCAGCTGACAATAAAAATGCTTTATTGCCAAGAAACTGGATCGATCGGGGCTGGAGGGGGCCGGCAGGGGGGACGCGGAGGGCTCAGCGCAGAGGCCGGCGGCCGGCCTTCGCAGCGACCAGTGCCCAAGCCGCCCTCCCCCCTGCGCCCCCCTCCCCGCCTCCTGCCCTTTCTCTCTCCTGCAGCCACCGCTTAGTTCTTATTATATTTTTTCTTATATATATTTTTCCCCCAGCTTCTCCTGCTCCTTTTTTTTTTTTTAATTTTTTTAAAAACTCGCTGCACTCCCAATGCCGCAGGCAGGGTGGGGGTGGGGTGGGGGAGTCTGCCTGGGCCAGGCCCCTATCCACAGGGTGCCCAGATCTGCTGGCTCTGGGATGAGCCCCACTTTGCTTCCGTATCCCCCTATCCAACCAGGCTCCTTCTAGAGCCTGTCTTCTGTGGGTGACCACCTCCCCCTGCCAGCCCTCCTACGGGCCTCCTTCCAACCTCAGAACGCCCACACACACATCCGTGGTGGGCTGAGGACCCTGGTCAGGCCTTTCTCCCCTCCCCCCTACCTGGCCCCTTGCTCACTCCTGGAGCCATTTGGCTGATGGTCAGAACTGTCCGTCAAGGGGACTCTGAGCCCCTGGGGACCCAGATGGGAGGAGGGAGGGGGAGAGGTCGGGGGTCAGGCCTCGTCCCCTCAGCTGGTCTCTTTCCCCTCCCCCTTCCTAACAAAGGGAACATTGGCCTGATGCTGGCGGGATGGCCTGGTACTTAGGGAAGCGGGGAGGAGAGGGGCTGTGGGGATGGCCATGGGCAGGAGGTGGGGGTGGGGGCCGCCTGCCCCTCCTCTGCCCTCCCCCTCGGGTCAAGGCTAAGGTGATTCCTCAACCTCTTGGAGGCTGGGTTGGGAGGAGATGGGGATCTGGACAGACAAAGAACCAGAGCCCTGGGGAGTTGGGGGCTGGGGGGATGCACCTGGGACCCGGGCAGTCCTGGCTGAGGGAGGGGCAGCAGGCACCCCTCTGGCCCTGCTCTCACCCTCTGGATGGCCCTGCCCCCTATCTGCACCAATCCCTATGGATCCCAGAGCCATACAGACCTTCCAGCTTGGGCAGGGTTGGATGGGAGTGGGGGGAAATTGAGGCCCAGAGAGGGGAGACAGCCCAGGCCCAGGGTTCTCAACACTGTCCCAGAGACTCTCCCCTCACTTCTCTTCCCACTAAGGGAAGGCTTCTTCCTTTCCTGCCTTCCCCACCCAGGTCAGGGGAGGTTTGGTGGGGGCAGATGGTAGAAGGTTCTATGGAGAGGGAAGAGGAGGCTGAGAAAAAAAGTGAGGCTAAGTGTTCTCCTCACTTAGACCAGTGGGGAGGGGATGCAGCCAGAAGAAAAAGAGTTTAAATGTGACCTCTAACATTGGCCTGGCACAGCTGTGGGAAGAAACTTAACATCTGTTGGAAAGGGCAGGAAACCAACATAGACAGGGTGCTCCTGAGTACCTGGCTAGCAGTGGCTGGGGAAGAGGACTTCAGACAGTTTTCCCCTTTTGCCCATGGCCACAGTGAAGGAAGAGGATTCACACTCTGGTCAGTCACAAGCCACCCATGACATTTCATTAGAGCCTCCCACCTACCCAGTCTGACCATAGGGGACAAAAGGTAGCTGAGGCAATGAACAGCCATGAACCCCCATGCTCACAGGGATAAGGAGCCTCCAAAGAAACAGAAAGAAACGGGCAGATCTTTTATGCTTTAAATTCTCCTATGAAGGCTGAGGTGGCTCTTAGAGAGAGGGCCACAGCCAAGAAGAGGGGGAGGATAAGGCAGGCCTCTTTTGCGGGGGTTGGATAGGCTCACACATGACCCCACAGCCTACCAAGGAGGACCCAGATGGGCAGAGGACTATAGGGGTCCTGGCTGCCCTCCCCCAAACCTCCCCTCCCTTCTCTCCCTCTCTCTTTCTCAGCTGGCTATCGACCGAGGCTGTGACATGGTGGATCAATACGGCAGGGATATAAAGCCGGCTGGCTGGCTGCCTGCCTCTGCCTCTGCCTCTCTCTCTCTCCCTTGCTTGCCTTGCTTCCTTTTCCAGGAGCCGCACCCAGGTCCCCCACCGTAATGTACCCCTTACCCAGGCCTCTGAGAGGCCAGGCACCCCCTACCACTTCCCTACAGCGGGAGAGCTTAGGGAGGCTGAGAGCTTGGACAGCCAGGAGAGGGGGTGAGTATGGGAGTGGGCAGGGAAGCAGATGGGGATTGGGGCACACTTGCAGGTAAGGGGGTTGGGATAAATTGAGGGACAGGCCACCTGGGAGAAAGCAGGCATCCCCTCAGTTGGGAGCAGCTCAGGGAGATGGGGCCCTTTGAAGGTGTGTGATGGACAGGGCTCTGGGAGGTGGGCAGGGGGCACCTAGGGGTCCAGGGAAACACTGTCCTGAGCCCATGAAGCAGGGGAAGGTCTGGAGGGTGCTGGGGTAGGCTACGGTGAATGGATGCAAAGAACAGTGGGGCAATCCCTAAGGCCAGCCTGTGCCTACCCTCAGAGCTGCCGGCTGCCCCCACCAGCTGCCTTGGCCTCACCCCAGGGTCTGGCCTGCACATGTGTGGTGGGGGCGGGAGGCTTGTGAAGCTTCGGACAGGAGGTTCCATGGAGAGGTCTGTGATGTGCAAGCTGCCATGTACGTAGGGTGTGCATGTGTCCTCAGGCTCTGCTGTGGGACTCTGGGACTGCACAGAACCGAGCGTCTTGGCCCCTGAGTCATGTCTGTTTGTGACCATGAGTTCATGGATGTGTCCCAGGAGCACAGGGTGGCTGTGTATACACTTCCACTAGTGTCTCCCTGACCCTCGGTATCCCTAAGTCTCTGTCTGTCCCTTGGGGATGTATCCCAGGAGCACCTCAGGGATCCCCTCTGTCCCCAGGTAATGGGGTGGCTATGTGTTCCCATGTCCTCTGGGAAGTCCGTGTGTGTTGGTGTGCATGTGCCCCTGCCAGAACGTGTCTAAGCATGGATGTTGCTGCGCGTGAGCCTCCATAGGTTCCCGTGTGGATCCGTGCCTATGCCTGTGGGCAGCTGTGTGTGCTTCAGGGATCTGCGCCATGGTCTCTGGGTGTACTGGAAGCGCTTTCTCCTCATGAGTGTCGGAGAGTCCGTGTGGTTTCTCTGTATGTCTACGTGTTGCTGTGTGTCCCTGCGTGCCGACGGCCAAATGTGTTTCCACAAGTGGGCTAGAGGCTCTGGGTGTGTCCCTGTGTGTGTCATGGTGACTCTGTGTACACGGCAGGGTGTGTGTGTGTAGAGGCTACAACCCTGAGTCTCTGAGTGGGGGAGGGTGGTGAGGCAGCAGGGGCTGCCACAGAGACACAGGCTAGTCTGTTTTATCACTACATCATCTCCAAATCCCAATGTCCGGGCCTGCCTGCCTTCTTTCCCTTCCCTGCCAGAGACCCCAGACCCTGCCAGGATGGATGGCCCAAGCCCCCACCTCCCCCGGCACCTTAGGCAGGCTGTACCTCTGTTCCTCAACACCCCTGCTTTGGTGGATGCCACCTCAACTCCACCAAGCGACCTCCGTCCCTCCCAACCCCCCCAGCGCCACCCGCTCCCTCCACCCTCCCCCCACCACAAGTCCAGTCCAACCCAGACAAAAGCAATTACTCCAGAGGTAGGATGTGAGTGTGGGTGTTAGAAACAGGAAAAAAGGGGGGGGCAGAGAGGGGGAGCCAGAGAGACACACACAGAGGCAGGGATGGACAGGCAGAGACCCCGAGACACGAGAAGAGAAAGATCGGCAGAGTGAGAGACAGAGGGACACACAGAGAGGCGCACAGAGAAGCAGATTCAGAAGATGAAAGAGACTAGAAGGGACACAGACACCAAAACCAGAAAGCAAAGGCAGAGAAAAAGAGCAGAGGAAGGGCAAATGCAGAGAGCACGACAGAGAGACAGAGACAGAGACCAGAGAGACAGAGAGAGAAACAGAAAGAGCACACAACAGAGCGGAAAACCCAGTGATGGAGCCACACAGGGAGAAGACACAGATAAAGAGAGAACGGGAGCCAGAGGCAGGGAGAACTAGAAAGGGCAATGCACAGAGAGGAACAGAAAGGCTGAGTAAGAGTGAGAGACAGAAAGGAGACCAGAGAGATAAAAGACAGACGGCAGATAGCGGTGGAGGGGAGTTGGTAACACACTAGAGACTCTCAGATGGCAAAGCTAGAGAGAAGCTGAAGGGGCACCATGTCCAAAGTGATCTTTTTCTTCCCCACCCCCCTGCGCACGCACACACATGCACGCACACACACACACGCACACACACACACATCTTTCTCCCCATTCCCCAGGCCAGAAGTCAGGGATGCTAAAGCCTTTTCCACGTTCCTCTGGGCCCCTGTGAGCCAGGGTGGGGAGGGGACAGGATGAATGGACAGGGATGATCTCAAGTAGCTTCGGGGACCAGCCAGAGCCAACTGGAACCTGATCACAGGGACAGGGGGAGCAGTGCATCCCTCCTTACCACACACTGTCACCTCACCCTCCACACACAGTCCACATACACCAGGGCCTTGGGCAAGTTCCTCGTACTCTGCCAGGCATGGCCAGCTTGGAGGATTGGGGGCCAGGTGTGAGGTCCTTACTTCCCGCCCCACAGTCCTGCCCACCTGCCTCGGCTGCAGCTGCCTTGCACTGCTTTTTTCTTTCTCGTTGTCGCCTGCCTTCATCCTGGCTGCCTTCATCTTTCTCTGATGCACTCTCATGAGTTCAGCTCCAAAGCACACACTCTCTCTTTTTCTCTGTCCCTTTCTGTCTCTGAGTCCCCTACTCTGCTTTCCTGCCTCTGACTTTTCCGTTGCTCCCTGTTCCTCTTGGCGCCTCTCCAGTTGCTCCATTCCCCTCTCTGTGTTTCTGTCTGGAAGTGCTTGCTCTCTGGGTCTCCCTCTCCCTCCACTCCCATCTGGTATATTCTAGATTCCCCTTTCTTAGACATCCCTCCAGCCCCCTATCCACCTCATGCCCAAGAAAAGTAAAGGTGGGCACAGTGGTCTTAGCCTGTACCTGTAGGCCCAGCTACACAGGAGGCTGAGGCAGGAGGATTACTTGAGAGTTCAAGAAAAGCAAGGGTGGAATGCTGTGTAAGGGACCTCAGAAGCTGTCCTGGAGTGGCCAGGAGCAGGTAAATACTTCCTTTCTTGTTTTTCTCTCAAGCACCTTTTTTCCTCCTCTCTTTCCTTCCCTGGCCTCGCACCCACACCAGGCCTGATCTCTGGATCTCCCTGATCTCCAGATCTCAGTGTGGCTCTCTCTGGAGACAAAAGCTAAGACTCAACCCACAGGCAACACTAAATACACAGCTCCAGCTCAGAGAAAAAGGAGGTGACCAGGGAGGAATGGAGAGGCCAAGACACATAATGAAGACCAGGAAAAGGAAGAAAGATGATGCTGCGGCTGGAGCCAAAAGGAGAGGAAGAGGAAAGAAAGGAAAGCCAGGAGCGGAGACCCAGCAGGGCATTGTGAGCACAACAACCGTGGGGTGGGAGTGGGACGGGCATCGAGATTTCTAACAAGTGCAGCTGAAAACATCCAGGGTCATTCTCTGAGGCCTTCTCTCTGCCTACCAGTCCTCACCAGTGCTTCGAAGAGCCCTGCGGAATGTCTCTCTATTTGAAGTCAGAGCCAAGTGCCTGCTATTGGCACCTGGGGCTCCATGCTTACTAGGATGGTTGGCACTTGACCTTCATTTGCTATGGGACTGTCAGGGATTCCAGGGACCCACTGGTCCTCAAACTAGCTCAGAGTTCAAGCCATTTTTACCTCCTGCACATCTGTAATTCCCACCCCATGGCTGACAAATATTCCCAGTCCACAGCTATCTCCACCCACCCAGTGACAGAGCACAGGCAGCCAAAAGGATCAAGCAATCTCTTGCCACCTCCTAGCAACCCATAATGGTGAACAGCCCCTCACATCTGGACTCCACATTCAGCGAGGAGTGGCCCTGCCCACTGCCCAGATCACACAGCTGCAATTTACAGACCACCCTATGGGTCCCACCCCACAGCCATAGCCCACCAGTATCCAAGGGCTGCCTCTACACTGAAGCTCCGTCCCAGCCCAGCCCATCCTTCAAGCCACATATGGAACAGCACACACCCTATTCCTCTAGCCAAAGCCCTCCAGGTGCAATTCAGAAGGAGGTAGACTAGGCCTGGGGCATGTGGACAAGTCCCTGATGCCACCCCCTGGCTTCTCCAGCTTGTCTGTGGAACCTGACTGCCCTGAAGGGCCAAACCTCTGATCCCAGGTCAGCCCTCCATCACACCTATACTCTTGCCTATGAGAGAACGTCCCCATGTGCGGCTAAACATCCTCCTCATGCAGCCCTGGGTTCTGTTCCTTCCATGTCACCTCACAGACCCAGGATGGAAGCCTTTCACCTAGACTGAAGCTTCTGCTTCTGAAGCATTCAGGACTCTCTCGGAGTGTGTGAGCACCCTGGGGCACATCCCTGCTGCTTATGTCTGAGTTACCTCTGAGTTCCCAGGACCACTCCACATCGAAGGCCATTGTGTCTTTTTGCGGAAAGATGGAAGGACAGAGGGGAAAGAAAGACAAAATGGTACCATGGCCCTGCTCCTGCCCTGGCACTTGGAAGGCACCAGATACCCAGGGGACTATAGCTGGCTGTGAGGACTCTGAGGCCAGGTCAGCATCCATGGTCCCCAATAGTGAGTAAGAGTCCAGTTAGCCTACACCCCTTCCCATCCACCCAAAATGTAACTTAGCCCTCGGCTTCTCTTTACCTTTCAGGAGTTCTCCCCTTACCCCCAAAGAATTCCTGAGGTCCCCCTAGGCCGGTAAGTGTGTCTCTCCCCTAACCCAGCACCCTGCAGCCCCTGGTTCAGGTTGGTGGCATCTGTGCCCAAGCCCCCACCAGCGTGAAAGCCCCTCAAAGGCCACACAGATCTCCTACCTCTCTGCATCTCCAGATGTTGGTACAAGGCCTAGCACACAAGGAATCCCAGAAAATGTTGGCTGAAGGAATAAATGGATGGATCTGGGTTTATGTGTCTGTTTGCTCACTTATTTATTCATTCAACTCATGCTTGCTGAGCACTTACACTGTGCCAGGGACTGAGTGTAGACAGACATGTTTGACAAACAGAGAGAGGTCCCCTCGCCATGAGGCTTCTGGGGGCAGACACTAACCATATAGAATATAATCAGATATGGTGATAGTGTTCAGGAGGGAAAAGGGGGCATCATCCAGCCGAGGGGTCAGGAAAGGCCCTCAGAGTTAGGGATCCTTAGATGGAGAGCTGAGGAGGTAGAGAAGTGAACCAACCCAGAGTAGAAAGAAGGCCCTGGCATGGGTAGGAAGAGATTTGGAAGAAGGGCCAGAAGAGGAGAGGGAGAGGAGAAGGAGGAGTCACATGGGAGCACGGGCAGCAGAGGCTACCACCACTCCACAGCTGGGAGGGGGTTCTCTCACTAATCCTGGGGCTCCAGCTCCCATGCAGAGCATTGAGGAGGCCTCCAGACACGTTTGGGGGAACACTCACCTTCCAAGTGTGACTATAAAGGAAAGACAGAGCAAGTGTTTATTGTAGTTGTTGTTTCATAACAAAACTATACCTAAAAGACTATGACTTCCTTCAAATATGTCTCCTCAGGAGGCTGAACTTTTTCTTCAATCTTCTGATATTTTGGCAACAGCCTTCAAGGCCAGTTTACAAACTCCATCAGCAAAGCATCTCTGTAGTGTATAACTGTCTCTAGTTTCTATTGAAAAACCAAGTGGCCCCAGTATTATCCAAACCCTTCATTGCTAAATTCATCAGAGCTAAATCCAACTTCAGATGGTCTCCAAAATCAAATTCATTCCCAAAGTGCAAAAATTTGCCACTCTGTGGAGATACCAAAAACTATGGTGGGTTTTGGTGAGGTACAATAATGAGAGCTTTAAGTTCAGGCAAACCCAGGTTCAAATTCTGACTCTATTGCTTACATGTTGGGTGACTGTAGGAAAGTTGCCTTTAGGCTCTGTGCCTCAGTTTCTTTCTCTTTTAACAGTTGCCAACACTCACTTCACAGTGTTGCAGTGAGGATTAAAAGCAAAGTGCCAGCCGGGCGCAGTGGCTCACACCTGTAATCCCAACACTTTGGTAGGCTGAGGCAGGCAGATCACGAGGTCAGGGGTTAGAGACCAGCCTGACCAACATAATGAAACCCTGTCTCTACTTAAAAATACAAAAACTAGCCAGGCATGGTGGCACACACCTGTAATCCCAGCTACTTGGAAGGCTGAGGCAGGAGAATTACTTGAACCCGGGAGGTGGAGGTTGCAGTGAGCCAAGAGTGCACCATTGCACTCCAGCCTGGGCAACAGAGCAAGACTCTGTCTCAGGAAAA